AAAATTTAACGAAACTATGTTACTCGTTCCTTCATTTGAGAAAATTAACTAGGTAGTTACTTGGTTACCGAACCAAGTAACTAAGCACAAGGAGCCCGTTACTTACAGTCTGCGAGATATTTCAAAATATCAAAACAATTAAGGACGTTACATTTTCTCTGCTCCTTTTTTTTCCCCCCCCACAATCAGTGTTGTAGGCGTTACCGAAAAAGAAAAAAAAATCGTTACTCGTTTTTTGGAAAATAAAGGATACCAACCTACGTTTCCTCAAAATAAAAGTAACGGGTTACCGTTACCGATAAAAAGTAATGCGCGTTACTTTTGCGTTATGTTTATTTATGAGCTCACGGTAACAGCATTTTATTGGCGACAGCGCTTTTCGACACTGGAACTAAGGGCGTGGGCCTTTTCCTTTCTTTCTTTTTTCTGAATTGAAAATAACAGGCAACATTTTGAAAGTATGCGGAATGAGGGCAATAATTAATGACTTGGCGCCTATACTTCGTTTCAGCTTAAGTTCAGACGCAGCCGATGCTAGGAGCTAATGAGAGCAATCAGGCAGTGTCAAAAGCAAAAGTCAGTGGCCCTTTTTTGTTTATGATTGGTTCAGCGATGATAGAGCACGTACAGAACCAACATGACGAACACCATGATGGTGCTCTTTTGACGCTGTCTGATTCATCCCATCAGCTCGTAGCGTCGGCTGCGTCTGGACTTAAGGTAAAACCATCGCCTCCTCTATATTGATAAAGCCTGGCAGATCGCCACGAGACGCTGCCGCCAAAATTGAAAAGGTAGAGCGCCAGACAACGGATGAGAGGAGAGCCACGTGACCGGCGCCCCGCTGCGGCGAGACACCGAAACACACTTCTCCCGAGCGATGGAATGTCCGCTCGTGCTCCTCGCGTTCCTCGCCCTATCGCTTCTTTTCTCGTCGAGCTTGAAAACCATGTTTCGTGTCCTCGCCGATACAAAAGCAGTGCGCTGAATACCAGGTTCCCCGAGATATGCTTTGTACTACCAGATCCTCGCGCTCCAAATCAGCGACCGGTCACTATATGGTTCCGTCGTGGGACTGCCAGGCTTTGTGAGTGTAGAGGAGGCCATAGTAAAACGAAGTGTAGAACAAAAAAATAAGTACACTTTTTTTTAGGTTTTGTGAAGAGGTAACCAGTACGGTTGCTACGTTACCGCAAAAAGGGACGCGTTACCGGTAACGTTGTTTCTTGTATCGTGTTAACGCCAACACTGCCCGCAGTACATTGCCAAGTTTCATTGGCCGCGAAAGACCGAAGAAAGATGGAACGTAGAAATTTAAGGAAGCGTTTTGAAAACCGCGGAGTATATAGTGGACATCATCTCTAACTCGCACCTTTGTAGCTCGCGATATTTTCTTTGGCTGCATGATAGTTCCGAACGGGCGACCCGAAAGTGCTTCGCAAGAGAGCCTCTTTTGAGACGGCTCTAGTATTCGCGACAGATCCCTTACAAATAAATCTTGTCGTATCGTGGATTGCCGTCGGAGGCTGCAGTCGTGTGCTCGGGGCTCTGGCATCTCAGAATGACACAACAGTGTCCTGTTGAAAATCCTCGGACTTACACCCCTCCCCCCCCCCCCCCCCCCCCCTTCAGAAAATGCTAGACATCCAAAAGGCGCACATATAACTGTCAGATGAGGTTTTTTTCAATGGCTTAAGTTCGCGAGCATGGGCCTCCGTAAGCTGTCTATTCTCAATATTTCGAAATGCTCCAAAAATTTAAACGCGCCCGCGTTTTTCCTTTTTCTTGTTTGGCGCTTTATATATATATATATATTTTTTTTTTTGTTAGTTTTGTACAACGGTGTAGTTTACTGTGGGTTCCGTAACTTTTTGCCACGTCCTTTTTACTTCTCTTTCGGTAAAGCTTCGTAATATTTTCAAGTATCGATCACCTTGTGGACAATCTGCTGATCCAAGTGATGTCCTTTTAAACGCATTTCCCCGGCGGATATGTATATCTTCCTCGTTTTTTTTTTTTTTTTTTTTTTTGTGATTTTTAGGTTTTGATATTTCTTAAAAGTTTTTTTTCGCGCTGCATATCGAAGAATGTTAGATAGCTTTTTCTTGCACCGATAGAAGGCTGTCGCCGTGACCAGCAAAGTGCTTGCGCTCAACGTCAATTTTGCAACTGTGGTTTTCGGTTCTCACAGCCAGGTTACAGTAGTATTGTCATGATGATAGCTGTGTAGCCGACAAAAAGGGATGGGCGAAATTCGACCGTGAACGTAACGTGTAACAATTGTGTTTTGTGTTTGTTTAGAAAGCGGGAAGTCAGTCGGCTCCACTCGGTGTCTGGTGTCTCTGCTCTAGGTGAAAGATTCGAATTCGGCCAGTGCAGTGCCACTGCAAGCCTGGGGTCTTTAATGTGCCTTACTCAGTGATAGATGACCGCACGCCGGTACAATGCTTTTCGAGATTGAAATGGGCAGGGGTGGGGATCGAAGAGCGCATTGTGGACGATCCATACCTTCTGCGAAATGAAGTGGACAGATTCATTAGTTCGTAAATTCAATTTTAAATAAAGCTCCAATGACTACGGAGACATATTAGGGACAGACAGAGACAACGCTACTATAGACCTTTTTCCCTTACTTCAGTACCCAGCCAACTGGTATAGCATATGCGGTATGAACGACGAAAACCTAATAAGACATCTAAACCTGCAATTAGTACAAAAAAAGTAGGGAGGGGAAACGAGAATGGGTGATGGTTACGCTTCTATATCCTGCATTGAGGTACAAGCTCTAACCGTGGCGACGGCAAAACAGTGTTTTCGCTCCTACTGGAAGTGACCAAATTCAAGATGGCGCCGCCCTTGTGTAAAAGGTCTATAGAGTGAACTTTATTTGAAAAGCGTTTACCTTAACTAAAACTGGATGAAACCAAACATTGGGTATGGATAGATCAATGCATCTTTCAGTGTGGTGTTTGTTTGTTTCCGGTTGATACGTTTACATTTCGTTGGGTATACTTCGAAGTAAAGACGGCATTCCACTGTAACTGTATGAACTTAAGCTTCTTTTCCTAGGATCGAGTTTTTTTTTTTTTTTTTTAGAGTTGTCTTACCAGAAACGACCTGTATCCGGCCAGAGTCTGGAGGGTGTTAGTCTTTCTTCATTGGGCGCGCGACGCCGTCTGTCACCGAGCGTCTGGTTTCGCAACGCGCACTAGCCCGGGGACAAGGAGAAGCCTCACACAGGGACTCCGCGTAATGCACGCGAACGATGCCGCTCCGGGATGGCGATGCCCTTCACGTATATTTCTCTCGTGGACGGTTTTATCGGGTCACTGCCTTCGCCCCTCGCTGTGCGGCCTAGGTAGTAGACCGGCAACGCCGTTGAACTCCGTACGACTTTACGATACGCGTCGTACGTCAAGGCGACAGTGCTTTTGGGAGGAAATGATTCCGTCGCGACTACTGTCTGCTTAATGGTCCTTCTATTTTTATACCTCGATCGCTCGCCGGAATAGAGCTTTCCCGAAAATCCCACAAGACCTCGCGGCATGCCCCCATTGCACCGTGCGTGCGGGGGATTCTGGAGCTCTGCCGACGTACGCTAAGGGGAGGGGGGGTGGAGTGGTACTCCAAATCCTGAAGCGACACAATCCATTCTTTCACGCTGATCGTTCTGTGTCCAGAGCATCACGAGGGAAATACAGCTAACGCAAAACGGAGCACACTGTTTTTGTTGTCGCCCGGCCTCCTCTGAGCGTTCTGAAACCTTGACGTGTTCACCCAACACTGACCCCTACCATCGTGCTCTTACTTGCTGCGGATTTTCGTAAGGCATCGGAAGACGATGGAGGCCATATATTTGTTGAATGGTGTTTACGTGCTGTCTCTGTTATAACCAGGGCTTAAAGTCTGGGGGGTGTCAGGGGGTCGCGGACCCCCCACTGATTTGAACGGATGGTCTGAGACCCTCCTCCACAGCCCCAGCATTAGTGAAGTCAAAATCATATCTTGCAATAAAATAGCTTGCTTTCAGGAATGTGACATTTGGGGATTAGCAGTTTGAGGGATGCCGATACAGCGTGGGCGAATCAGCAGTGGGGTTTATTTCATGTGCATAAAATACATCTTTGCAGAACCCCCCCCCCCCCCCCTCCCCCGATCTTTATTTTCTTGTAGGGACCCCCCTCAACTTACGGGAGACTTTAAGCACTGGTTATAACCAGATGTCTATTTGGGCACACTGCGGACGAGCTTGTGCGCGAATCTGAGTGGTCTCCTGTGTGTCATAAAGCTTTCATCCTTTTTATTTTCTTGCTTGTATGGCCATTGGTCTTAGTATATCTGAGGTTCTCTCAGGATGTCTCACTCTCAGGTGTCCCTAATACTCGCGTCATCTGTGACCTTGTTTTCTTTATCAGATTTGTTTTTGTGTAATGCTATTCTCGTATAACGTTAGGACGGTTTTGTTCGTGTGGAGTCAAGTAACGGCTTCATTCTACGACGGGATTTTGAGGAAGAGTTCGACGGGGGTTTGCTTAAGTCCTCCATCACGCGGGGCGATGTTTAGAATGAACTTGGTTCCGGGACTTTTGTTTCGGTTCAAAATAATTTATAGGTGTGTTTAATTAAGTCAAACGCGTATATCGGCTCCCACAGTTCTGTGAAAAATTTGGTATTGGAGAAAAAAAAAAAAGTTACAGGGCGGCTTAAAACTAGCTACATGCGCTTTGCACGTAATAGTGGGTGCGCGGTTCGTTCTAAGTACCAGTTAAGGTGCTCTCACTTCTTTTTACCTAACCGATAGTGTTTTTTTTTATTGTCTTTGCGATTAACATATACTTGCAACTGATACGAATTTGAATTTTCTAGCGCATAGTTAGTTGGTCACCTTTTCCTTTTATATGCTACTCGCTTCGTTTTTCTTTTTTCTCCTAATTTTGAAAAAAAATTGCATTATGACCTTGATACAGCTAAATGGCTTCAATTATCTTTGTATTTTTCAGGTTCCGTTTCTACGGGTAACATCTTGACCACCTCCTCGATGACGACTACCTTCACGTCTGCCACTGCTACTACCGCCATTGCCACCGCCACCATTCCCCTGCTGACTTCCTGCGCGTCCCCTTTGGTCTACTGGGGTGCGAGAAGCTAGTTTTCAACTTACGTTTGTGCCCCATCTTTTTGAACGTTTCCATTCGCATTCCCTGTGCAGATCCGCCAAAGCTGGACAACGTTCCTCTTCATTGTTCATTAAAAAAAAATATCAATTTCCTTTGGTCTCTTTTCTTGTTATCTGTTGTTGCGTGTCCTCTTAAAAGTGTTGTATAATTTTAGTTTTGCTTCACCTTAGCGGCCTAATTCTTAAAATTTGAATATCTAAACACGAAACTTGCTGGCGGCCTTTTGCCGTATTCTAAGATGCAATCTTTGCACCTGAAGTTGTAGCGTCCTTTATAAACTTGAATATATGTTGACGAAGTGGGGTAACTCGAATCGTCATTATTTATTAGAAAGTCTGTAACGCGCGGCACCTCATTGTTTTTGGGTGTATCATTTCGCGCCTACTTGAATTATGCCGTCGTCGTGCTCGTGTGGTAAGTTCAATACTTAAAAGAAGACGTACAAACTACGAATCACCCTTGACAGAGGAGTAGGTAGTATCCATAGAGCCGTGAGGAAATTTTTATTCTCTTATCAATCAATACAACCTATCGTAATGAACGATTGAAGAAACGGCTTGTTTTAATGCATTTTTGCGCACATTTAATCGTAAAGGAACTCGCAACAATCCCCCGTTGGTGGATCATTGTGCTGTTCCTGTTTTTTAGTTTGGAGTCTCTGGCTGTTTTGCGTCACTTTGTTTAATGCCTTTATCAAAGTGCGCGCAGTTGTTTTTTTATTAGATATATTTTGAAGACATTCTCAGTCTACAGATGGGCTTTATCAGGGCTACGGCATGATGTGAAGCCCACACAAAACCAAGGCATATCTAACATAATCGATGATGTGCTGCAGGACGATATATTATTACCACAGGAAACCGCCAAACCAAAAATGCGCACGGTCCTTTTTTTTAAGGAACAGCGTGTGTGATTGACTTTGTGGCAGTCGTAGATGAAATATGAGGAATATTTGGCAAAAGTTCCTTTCAAGGAGAATTATTTTATACCTCAATCAATGATTACATTGTAACTGATGGTGAGTACGGGACACTTGCCAACTAGGAATAAATCTCAAGACACTGCTTTACCTCCGTTGCCACGTGATTTCAGCAACATGAAATTATATCTAATGGCACTGCATGCGTGACAGATAAAGCTGGGAACATGGAAGAACAACTAACAAGGGGTAAGTTCGAGTTTTCTCTCTCTCTCTCTCTCTCTTCTTTTAGACATTATATGTTTTAAACGCACTTTCGAGTCTGTCAGCCACTAAGCACACCGGGATGGCCCGAATGAAAACGTCTTGAATTCGCCTGCCTCTCTGTCTCGTTGATTCTGTTTCGCTGCCCACTTTACGAAAATGAGCTTAGGCTCATGACGAGTAGCTTTCTCCCCACATCGAGTCGGATTCTGAGGGAGAAGCTGATAAAAACCTAAACCCATAACAATCGCACAAAAAAAAAAAAAAAAAAGACGCTGGTGATTTGTTTGGATATGTATGGCGCGCTCATAAGTCACAGCTGTCAAGGGAGGTGTTCATGAACAACCTGAAACTGCATTTTCTTCGGGTTCTCTCACTGGGGAGTTGTCGCATGATCGTTTTCCTCGGAGTTGGGTGCTGGACTATACCTAATAGTTTTCATTAGCGAACCCCGACGCCGGGTTTGTGATAAAAATAACCAGAGATTGAAGTGAACAGACGGGGACCTTTATTTTAGTGGTGTATGAAAACTCCGGTAGTGATTCATTAGAGGTTAAAACGTACGAAAGAACATGGTGAGTGAAAAGAAAAGGACTTTCAGCGACAAGAACGTTTCCCACGCTTGTTTATTTTTGCCTCAGTTTCGGAACTGATCCAGCGGAATGCTTCTTTCCACCGCAGTGCCAGAACAGATTTTATCAATTTACGCGGCTCACCAAAATGTACGCAAAGAGCACACAAGTATCTATTGGGAACACGGCCTTTCCTCCGCATTTGCGGCGAAGCGACTTGAAAGACGTCGCAAAACAGTTCTTGGGTCTTGTATTTTTTGAAGATTGTTGCAGCCTCGGGTGCTGTAGCGAAATGTAAGGGTAGCCATGTGGAGCCCCGAGAGGTCTGAAACTTCAGCTGTGCTTCTAAAGTTCAGCTGCAAGTATGGGGGTGTAAATACTAGCGATCGATCACGGGAAAATGAATCGCCTCCCAACACCATCGGTGATTCATCACAGTTTCCGAATGTGGTTTGCTGAATCGTGGCCGGTTCGAAAACAAACAAAGGACAGTGATAACTTCAACAGGGACCCAGTTGTCTCACTTATACTGTCGGAATTTGAATTAGGTCTACCTTTTCAGAAAGTCATTGAACTTCAATCTCGGTTTTTCTGTCATTATTTGCGAGCGTATCCGGACCATTATGATTAAGCACTATTCGATGAATCGCGTCTTAAAAGGACCGTGCACTTCAAAGTACGTACCTGCTCTCTCGATCGAGCGCTTGAAAGTTAGAACAAGCAGGGCCACAGCTTAGAAATAAGAAAACAATCAAATCAGCAAAAACGCCGCCATGGAAAAAAAAAAAAAATTCTGGGATTCATGTTTCTTTATTTTGCCAAACCCTTCGAAATGACCCCTAGCCTTTCAGCGCCTGGGGTAGGTGGTGCTCTGAGTTCAGGTAGTGGCTGCGGCAAGGTTTTGTGTAGAGACAGCTTAAGTCATACCACTGTCTCGTCGTGACGCTACGCGCGCTTCCCTTCGGCGCCACTGGGATCAAAGTTCTAGCGCCGAATTTTCTGGGTCACCAAGTGAAAAAGGGCGCTTATTTGCCTTTTCCACCCCTCGTTCCGCGAGCTCCTTCTGCACCACCCCTTTCTGTTCCCCTTTTGCCCATTCCACTCCGCTCCACGCGCTTTCTCGCACCACCTGCACCTGCTCCTCCCATTTCTCCGTGCTGGGTCCGTAACTCAGTCAGCAGCGCGTTCGGCTTCCACTCAGGTGACCGGGGATCGATCCCTAACACCGTTTGCAGTTCTTTTTTTTTTATTTTTTATTTTTCAATATCGTGTAGGGGTTACGGACTGACCGACCTACACATTTGGTGCTTACGCGGTTCCTGGCTGGCCCTAAAAAGCTACCGTTTTCATTTCGACAGACAGAAATGATACCAATCCTGCTCCGTGCGTTTTCTTGCGCACACCTATTACATAAACCCGTAGTCTGCTTTACGCGATGGTAAACAGTAAACAGGAGTGGGTTCGGTAGCCAACCCGAGCAGTAAGCGGGTTCGTCGTTGTACCTCAAAGTACGCCGAACCGGGGAAAAAAAAAATGCACGTGGATCTTGGAGAGTTTATTTCTGCGTAGCTCTAGAAACACTCTCTGTCTAGGGGACAAATTTTCAGCCAATGAGCATCGGTGGCGCCCATCGACGCTGCAGAATCGAAAACTCGGATCTGAGTGAAGTCGGTGCTGACAGGTGTTGAGTTTGAACAGCCCTCCCCTCGATGTCCCGCAGCAGCTCTTTAGCGATTCCGTCAACTTCATACGAAATAAGATGGGAGCGTATTTTAATTTTTATTTCTCGCTTTTAGTTTTTCGTATGTTTAGTGAGCTTATTAAAAGGGCGTAAGCAGAGGTGACGAAACTGAGGAAACGCGGCAACGCCTTAGTAAAAGAAAACTTCAGAATCTTCACCGCGTGTTCAGATCAGACCTGAAAAGGGTCCGGTGTCGCCCCCTTGTGCCTTTCTTGCTTCCTTATGGGACTTTCCAGCGGGCACATATTCTGGTATTTGTGTTATGCGCCACACAAATGACAGGATTAATCTTGACCGAATTGGAACAGTAGGTAGCTTTGATGGTCGTCAAGATTCTTTGCAGCAGCACCAAGGAACGTTCTGATCGGTTCTTGTTGGAAGTAGCAAGGTGAAAAAAATACAAATTACAAAAGTGTATGTACGTGTGTGTGTCGGGGGGGGGGGGGGGGGGTATGGTGGGCGAGAGGGGGGGGGGGGGGTGGCCGGCGAATAGTTATTTGTATCATGCGGGGCGAAATAGCCTCGTAGGGTAAGGCACCGTGTATTCAAAAATTTATTTTTAAATAAAAGTGCCACTCAATTTTGAATGTATATTTTACGCTTTGAAAGATCCACGTCGCAGAAGAGTCATTTCTGGAGCAGCTAGACATTCAATCGAAATCATTTCGCAAAAAAGGGCAGAATTTTGACAAGGCCCTGGATAGCAATCTGGCCACTGAGATTAGTCTGGAAAGGCCAATGTAGGGTCAATAGGATTGTGCAGGGCTAGAAACCTAAGATGGCGCTGCACTTTCCACTGAGAGGTGAAGAGGATATTACCTGTCTCAAGATTCGTTGAAAAAATGGGCAGGAATTCATCAGGGGTAATATTTATAATTCATTTTGCCACGAGCGCCATCGAGTGGTCGTAGTGTTTCCGGTTTCATATTAAAGGGTAACTTCAAAGAAAAAAAAAGTTTTTTTAAACAGCCTAATTGGGATAAGCATGTCAAAAACAAATGTTCCGCGAAAATTTTAGCAATATTTACGCCACAGGACGTAATTTAGTCGGAGTCAAAACCTCTCCACATTTGAAACACCCGCTCTTTCGACCCCCGCGGAGGAGAAGTACGCCCCGCCCCTCACCCTTGGATTTGCTCTTGGGTTGACTTGGCTGCGGAGTTGAACGACGCAGCGTCTCGACTTCCGGTAAGATCTTGCAACAACGCAAGAAGCTGCGCGGTTTGCGAGCACATAGCGAAGATGGCGAAGACGTGACCGGAGAAGCGCTTCTGGCTGTTCCCGGAAGACGGAAAGTATCTTTCGTAATCGTCGTGTGTGCTGTGAAAGCGAAGAGAGTCACAGGGTCCACGAGTGTGCAACCACAAGCCAACGTTCACGACAGCGCTGCGTTGACTTCGGTGATCTCGCTCTGTTTGCTGCAACACGGCGATGCGACAAATAACTGAAACGTTCGTGGTGTGTGTGGTGCGGTGCTTGAAAGTAGACACCCACACTAACACGGAGCGCAAATTGGTTGTTGTGGGGTTGAGATTCAGCGGGTTCAGTCCTGTCGTCAGCTGATCGGATCCAGCTGGTCCGGGAGGACGCTGCGA